AAAAGTTGAATTTCAAATGTTTTTTATTTTATTTATTATACAGCAACTAAATCACTGCAGTTATCCGTGTGTGTCTGTTTGTGTGTATCAATGGTGGACAGATCGTGCTCACTTGGAGTCAGCTGCTGAGTTGGTGGCCGCCTTGATAGCTGCGGCTGAAGTGCGTTTCAAGCTGACCAACACCTGACGTTTCTTCGAGGCCGGGCCGGGTCGGTTGGCCTTAGTCACGGCCGCTTTAGGCGTTGCTTTGTTAGCCGTTGTCGACTCAGACTTAACGGCAGTTGCCGATTTGGTTGGTGTTGTTGCAGCAGTAGCAGCAGCAGCAGRCTTTTTGTCTGCTGTCTTGGCAGCTGGTTTTGTTTCCTTTGCAGAGTCGTCTGCGGTGGGACCATTTGATTCATCTTTGACATCCTTCAGCTTGTTCTTTTCACTGTAGTTGTTTAATATAATTATTGGTACAAATAATTAATCAAAACTAATTTTTCGTCACCTTTCAATGTCAATATTCAGTACAGATTCATCTTCCTCCTCCTCTTCTTCTTGGCCCATTGGCTTAACTTCCGCCAACAGATCGCCCAAATCCTTGTCAACCTCTTCCCATAGTTTATCATCATGCGATTCATCACCGTCTTCGCCATCGAATTCTTCATCTTCATCCTTGACATCCCTCTCAATATCTTCTTCAGCTTCTGCTTCGTCAGTATCCTTGGGTACCTTATTACCCTCCTCATCGACCTCTGGATCATCATCTTCGCCTTCATCCGATTTCGACTTCTTTTCTGTCTCTTCTTTATGGCGCAGATAGTTCTTAACATGCAAATGCTGCAAGCAATGCTTCTTTGAGTATGTCTCTAGAGTATCATCGCCTTGCTTCGGCGAATAATGATTGCACAATTCGCAGTAATAGGCTTCAACAGCCTTGATGTAGTCCAGGCCAATCAGGCCACGTTTGCGAGTCTCTTCGTCAGCGCTCTTCTGCGCGGTTTCAGCCTCAAGCAGCATTGCATCAACATCAGCATCCATGGCGTCGTCATCGATCTCGCCTACCGAATCAACGGTAAGGAATTTATTCAAATCAATTTCACGCTCATCAACGCTGTCCTCCGAACCAGACTCATCATTGCGGGCTTTGTTCTGCAGGAATAAATTATCATTAGTTTAATTACGATATACTGCCTTTTACCACCTACTCGTATGTGCTCCAACGAGCAGCGATGGTTTTCATAAAGCATGGCGTTCTTAAATGCCAGGTGACAGGAGCCACAGTATGGCATCAGGAACTTCTTGATCGTCTTGTGATGCTCTGAGGCTTGATGCAGATTCTTCGGCTGGCGATAAGCTAAACGGCACAGACGACAATAACGCGACTCGTACTCTTCCTTGCTGTTCTCCTCGATTTCACGCTGTGTGGTGCGTTGACGGGCGCGCATGCGCTGCAAATCTGCGCGCTGACGTAATGCAACGGTACGCATCGAATTCTTGTGTGTGCGCGAGTTCAAGTGATAAAGATATTCCTGTGGAATATATCTAAATAAGTATCTGTAGTGATTATACCAATCCGTCTCTACCCACCTTGAAGGTAACGCACTTGATGCGGCAGTGCACGCAGGTAAGTTTAATAAACGTGCGCTTGCGCACATTGTGTTCATCGTCGCGATGACGAGAGGTTGTACGACGCTCTTTGCGATCGTCATCGCTTTCGTCTTTGTCCTTGCGCGATGAGCGATCCTTCTTGCTGGACGACGACTTCTTTGACTTGGAGTCCTTGTCATCGCCATCTTTCTCTTTTTTCTTACCTGTTGACTTTTCAGCAGTGCTCGTGGATTTACCCTTTTCTTTGGGCTTATCGGCATTGTCACCGGACTCTTCGGTCTTGCCCTTACCCGCCTCCTCATGAGCATCATCATCATCATCGGTGCCAACTTTGGTTTTTTTCTTCTCCGCGTCATTGTTATCATCTTGCTCCTGGTTATCGCCATCGTCTTTATCCTTGTCATCTTGTGACTTGCCCTCGGCATCATCAGTTGCCGTTTTGCTGCTACGTTTCTTACTTGGCGACTTTTTAGTCGATTCGCTCTTCTTCTCTTCTCCATCAGCGCCATCTTTATTGTCGTCTTCGTCTTCTTCGCCACCATCTTCATTGCTCTTGATCTTCTTTTTATCAGAATCGTCCCCCTTGTCAGCGTTATCAGAGTCATCATTGTCGCTAGAGTTATCGCTGCTGTTCACTGCCTGGCGTTGGCGCCGCAACGAGCTATACATGGGAATTCGAATTGAATTTTTGTTTGTTGTTTTTTTTTTTTTTTTGTTTTGTGGTGAAGGGGTAAGGCATAAATGCAAATTGATGTGGTAAGTACTCGTATACAATTAAGATGTAAGCTAACAAAATAGTTTGTTACATAGTGTCGGGTGTCGCTGGTTATTTTAATTTGATTCTCTACATGTTTATACACTTTACAATATCTCAAATCTCTCTTTCTAGTATCTCAATAGAATAATGGTGTTTTAAATAACCCTTTTAATTTCTGAATTTAGCCAATAACAGTTTTTAACACACACTCAAATGTGGCATATTATTTATATTGATATAGAGTGTTCATATTACACATATAGCCAAATGTATCAGATGCTCTTTTCGCACTTCATTGGCACATGGCATACTGTAAACTATCATCAGCTTTGACTTTATAGGATTTATTTAAATATAATATTTAAATACCACTTGAATCTTTTTTTTTTAATTTTTTTGTTTTGTTTGTTTAACTTTTTGTCTAATTACCTTTTCAACTGTTGTATCTTGAGCAGACGAGCGCGATCTTTCTGCTGTGCGTAGAGCAGCTGGCGGCGCATGGTGCGCAAATCATTGGATTCGTTGAGGCGCGGACGCACAATCCTCATGGTGCCAACGCCGCGCATGTTGTTACGAATCATGCCGCCGCGTATGGACATTGAGCCCCGCGGCCGTGATATATAACTTGTGCCGGCAACACTGCGCAACAGCGGCCGCTTTGGCGGACCCATCGATGAATCACGCTGATGCCGCTGGCTGCCAGAATCATCTCGTGGCCTATACGAGCTTGAGCTACCGCCACCACCAGCGCCGACGGTGCTGTTCCGTTGATGGTAACTGGACGAAGATGAGCCCATATTCTGCGATGAAGACGATGGGCGATCGTTGTGATCATTTGACGACGAAGTGCGACGGTAATCCTATGACGATTGATGAGTAGGAAGGAGTGTAGAGGAGCATTGTTTTTTTTTTTTTTTTTTTTTGATTTGATATTCGAATACATATAGATATACATAGAAATTTCTTGATTTGTGGATGATAAAGAATTGCTATATATGTATTTTTATATAGTTATATATATAAATTGGGTTATCTCAAATGCAATAATCATTATCCTGGCAGCAAGTGTGTGTAGTAGTAGTAGTAGCATGTTGAACAAACCTTATATTTTTAGCTATTTTAGATGGATTGATTATACAAATATACATATCGAATGTATATATATTTATAGGTATATAGATATATATCTGTTGTTTAGAACGGAGAAATTGTCTGATTGTTCAGGCATTAAAATATATATAAATACATGAGATATAGACACACGGTCTCATTCACAGTTCAAGTTCAATCTCAGCCGTGGCTGTACAATATATGCATTAATACATATATCTTGATCGCTCTGGCAAAATCTTTGCTATAATGCGTAGCTGCTGCTTCTGCTGCTGCTATTTATAATGTATAATATATATGCAATACAAATTGAGTTCTTTCGTTCTCAAAGTCTTTTAATCTGACTACTTTGAGAGCACTACCATTTACGTGTATGCATTTCCATCCGGCGTTAAACCTTCATAAATAGTGCTATAAATATTTGGAAACTCATTAAAATTACACAGACATAGACAACTGTACATATATACACAATTATCTTTAAGAAACCTAAAATTTTTGGGATTTACTTTTTTTTTTAGGGCATATTAATGTTTGGTTAGGTCTTATTTGAACTTACGTCTTGACGTGGACGTTTCCGGTCATCAGTACGATCGCGTGAAGAATCCTGTTTACCCAGATATAGAATTTTATGTTAGAGCTGAGATTTAAATATCGTATTAATCACAACTTACATAGCTACGCTTGTGGGAAGAGCCTGAGTCGTAGCGTCCACCAGTGCTCGAGTTATGATGGTTGTTAAACTTATCGCGGTTGCGATTATCGTAATGGTCATTGTTGGAGTTGTTATTGTTTCCACCACTATAGCGATTGTTGTGATGATAGTTGTTCTCATATCGTCCGTTGTTGGGACGATAGTTTCCTTGCGTACGCGTGTTCACGTAATTGCTGGAATTGCGGTTGTTGTAATAGCCACCACCGCCGCGCATAGTTCCGCCTCCACGTGGAATATAGTTGCCGCGTCCACGCATTTTACTACAAAAATAAACACAAGCACGCACAAATTGAACCAAAAGATGCACACAGTCTTTAGCTTTCTTTTGCCTACTGAAGCACCCTGTTTCCACCTTGCATCTGGGACCGGCTTTGACAGCGGCAAAAAAATCAGTATTTCTACCCACATATTTCGCGAAAAATGCTTTGAAATAACGCTACGCTTACCTTTTATTTTAATGTATTGAAAAGAACAAACTTAATGTTCTTGGTCGTGATTGCTTTTTCACTAAGATTGCACTTATTTTAAGAATTATATTTTCTAACTGTTAGCAAGCCGTACACAAAAGAAAATTTTCCGACAATGGCTAATATTCTAGTGATGTGCAATGAATTAATCGAGTTATACCCTAAGCACTGACAGCAATATCAAGCAAGTTGGCATCCTCGAAAAATCAATGTGACCTAATACGTAATAAACCTAAAATACCAGACTATTTGTGGCTTCCATATAATTTTAAATAACACTTTGTATGTTGAATATCTTTTCCTTTTATTTTCGATTTACCATGTCTCAACGATCCACTTGGTATTATATAAAGTGACATTTTCAGTACATACATATGTTCTTTACTCAATAAAAAGCAGCGTAATTGTAAGAAAAGTTATTGCTAAATTAAGTTTTACATATGTTACACAGAGACAACGACCGAATATGTCAGCATAAAACTAAATACTCTTTGGAATGCGCCGCAGCAAATGTTGGCAAGGTGCCTGGCTTGCATTCAAGATCTCACACAACGCCCGTGGGGCGCACATTAGTCGGCGGAGCTGCTGTATTTGGCTTCGTCATAATGTCGAAGGCGTTTTTGAACAGCTGTGTCTTCATAAAGTCCGTTGCTGCGCTATTTAAATCCTTACTTGCGCCATAGTTGCACTTGATATAGCCATAGAGATTTGCAGCATTCAGTGCTATGGCAATCATGACTAGTAGCAACCACTTAAACTTCAGTCCGAATAGGGCCATCAAAAAGAATAGACCCCAAAAGAAGGGACAGAGTATTAAGCCCAACCAGAAAATGCGCTGCTCATGTTTGTTGATTCGGCTCTGATAGGAAGGAGACTGTGTTACACTTATCATATCGATTGCAATCACGTACTGTTGATCCACTCACGTTTCTCGACTCAAACACCCAATGCGATTTGCCATCGTCATCAACGTAGTTCCACCAACGTAGCCCAACTAGAAGTCTCCCGGAGATATTCTTAACAGTCCAGAAGTCAGCAGATAGAAAGAGCACAACGAATACAAAGCTGGTGATGAAGGAGTCACTAAACCAGCCGCAGAACATGTAAATGACGATCGATGCGCCACGGAAGAACAGATGGAAGAAGGTGACGTACGGATGCCTAGAAAATGACAGGTGAGTGCAACACATACATACATGTCTTCAATCGGTTTATTGCTTACGTGTATTTCTGGGACGCTCTGCTGGGATCGCGCATTTCATCTTCCTCACCAAACGGTATCGTATCATCGTCCAATAGCGGCACCTATGCATACAAAATCTATTTAGTGTTTGTTTGCTGTTTAGTCACAGATAAAATTTGTTGCTGTTGTTTTAACGCTGGCTGGTATTAGTTGCATTTGATGTGCAAACTGCTGCTCTTTAGTTGTTAGTGTGGCATACATACATTTCTTACCGTTGCAGATGCCATTGTTTGTTATGGCTTGACTAACTTTTTACTAATTTAAATGAAAAATAGCTTGATAATAATTTAATGCATATTTTCTTTGCTTGCTGCCTGCGTAAAATGTGTATCGCCTTGGCTGCCTATCGATAAGTTATCGATTGCTTGCAGTGCAAGTCTGGCAACGCCAACGTCATAATTGTTTACTTTCAGCTGATAAAAGTGTCCGGAGAGCGGTCTTCTGAGCGCGAGCTTCCTCTCCTTGTTTTCATTCTGCAGTTGACTTAATTGTTGCATAAATATGCGTGATTGTGAGGAATGTAAAGCGGGAAAAATATAAAACCAATGGCGGCCAGTAGATGAAGTTAACATAGCGTTCAGCACACACGTTGACATTGATAAAAACACTAGCTGATAAGCCAAACAAATGGGAGCGGAAATATAAGTTAAAAGCGCACATCAGAACAGAAATTAGTTGCTAGCAAACCGCCCAGCAAATCAGACGTTCGGGAATCGCCAAGTGCCTAAGGTAAAAGGAAGCCTGCAAATGAATGAATGAACGTGCGAACACGACGCGACAAGTGCACGAAACGAGTTACGATAACACAACATAAAATTGAAGAAGCGCTCGGTCAAGCAAGCGAGAGAGAGAGAGAGAGAGAGAGGTCAGCGATCTTTAAACAGTTCCAAGCTCCATCATCATTAGTAGCAACAAAATCAGCATCAGCGCATGTCTGGTGCGTGTGTGTTTTAAACAAAACAATAATACATTCGGTTTCAAGGGTAGCGCAGAAGCGACGTGTGTGTATTAGCCAGGTAGCCAAGTGATTCAGTCAGCTAGTCAGCCAAGTAATTAAGGTGTACTGAGGTGAGTGCCAAACAAACACACACACACGTTGGCAAGCACCGTTAACCAAAACTCTTTACATTTCTCTGTATGTATTTGAGTGCGTAGAGAATTTTGGTGACGTCAATAAGAATTTCGCTTAATCTTAACCCAATTTTCACTTTCCAGAGATCCAGAGCAACAGTCGTAAGTAGAAGCTTGCAACGTACGGTTCGATAAATATGGCACCACCCACTGTCTTAGTCACTGGCGGTGCGGGCTACATTGGGTCGCACACAGTGCTGGAAATGTTGAATGCTGGCTACAATGTCATCTGCGTGGATAATCTTTGCAATGCGTATAGTAGCGGAGCGTCCAAGCTGCCAGAGGCCTTGAATCGTGTTCAGGAGATAACCGGCAAGAAGATTCACTTCTACCGCGTGAACATCACAGATCGCGAGCAAGTGAGATCAGTGTTCCAAGAGGTGAGCTCAACCAGAACCCAGTGGCACGTCAGCAAATTGACAAAATGTGCTTGAGTGGTGGATATATGTGGCACATTTCTGTACGCAAACACTCCATCTTTCTTATCATAATTGCTGACGCTATCAGTGTTCAACGCTGTTTACGCAGCTGCCGCATACTTCTGACGCGCTCTCGCCAACGAGCGCATTATCGTGACCTCGGTCACATAACTCGCTGCGCTGGCAACGACAACGTCAATATTGACGTTGCAATAGATGCATCTATTATCTAAATACAACTGTTGTTGTTTGCTAATCATTAGCTACTTGTTATATTTGTAGCACAAGATCGACATGGTTGCCCACTTTGCGGCACTGAAGGCTGTAGGTGAATCCTGCCGTATTCCTCTCCAATACTACCACAACAACATGACGGGCACCAATGTCCTGCTGGAGGCCATGGCCGACAACAATGTGTTCAAATTCGTGTATAGTTCGAGCGCTACGGTCTACGGCGAGCCTAAGTTCTTGCCGGTCACTGAGGAGCACCCAACGGGGAATTGCACATCCCCCTATGGAAAAACCAAATATTTCACAGAGGAAATACTTAAGGATCTGTGCAAGTCAGACAAGGTATGACTAATCCTTACTTTACAAACTCCACTCTGACATTAATCAATTTAATATTTAATTGATAGCGTTGGGCCGTTGTTTCGTTGCGCTACTTTAATCCCGTGGGCGCACACATCAGCGGTCGCATTGGTGAAGATCCCAATGGTGAGCCCAATAATCTGATGCCGTACATTGCCCAGGTGGCCGTGGGTCGTCGTCCAAAGCTCAGCGTTTATGGCAGCGATTTTCCCACCAAGGACGGCACTGGTGTGCGTGATTACATACACATTGTTGATCTGGCTGAAGGTCATGTGAAGGCCTTAGACAAGCTGCGCAACATCGCTGAAACGGGATTCTTTGCGTACAATCTGGGCACTGGCGTTGGCTGCTCTGTGCTGGAGCTGGTGCATGCTTTCGAACGTGCCTCTGGCCAGAAGGTGACCTATGAGCTAGTGGATCGACGTTCAGGCGACGTGGCCACATGCTATGCAGATGCCAAATTAGCTGAACAAGCTCTGGGCTGGAAGGCGACGCGTGGCATTGACAAAATGTGCGAGGACACTTGGCGCTGGCAGAGTCAGAATCCCAATGGCTATGCCCAGAAGTAGTTTTTGTTAGCGTGTTACATATCGATGTGTTCTTGCCCCCGCTGCGTGGCAAGTCTCTCCATCAGCGTGCCACGTTCTTTCTGCTGTTCTGTTATGTTATCTACATGTTCCTCGACCGCTCCTCTAACTTCAAATATTTGTAATTATTCTAATTAGCAAAATGCTTGCGTACGATTAGTTGTTTATGATTTGTTTTCTCAAATTTTAAGTGCAAAATGTTACAAAATTAAATGAACTAATATGTGTCTGGGTGCACGTAAACTCAGAGTAACTTGTATTAAAATCAACAATGTGTACCTACCTAATGACATTTTATGATTCCTTATCTTCATACGTAATGCGAGTTTCAAGGTCAAATGTAAATACGGGGTTTTGTTTTTTTTTTTAGAGGCGAACATTTATTCAATGCAATTAAACATTTAAAAACTGATTTTAAAAATACTTAATAAATGTGTATTTATACATATTTATAAAAAAAAAACACACACCTGCACAAATAACGGCTTTTATCACAATTATGAAATATTTAGTTTTCAACAACTATGCGTTTTGTTTTTGGAATGTTGCTGATTGTATTCGAGCTGTTGCTTGTTGCTTACATACATACGTCTGTATGTATGAATATATCTGGATTCGTGTATAAAAGTACAAAATTGTTTATATTTACGAGTATGATTCCCTATCCAATATGTGAGTGAGAATTGCGATGACAATTTTACTTTATACACTTGAACTTAGGCCTGGAAATCGGCCCCTCGTTGAACCTGGGTTATGGCTTATGGGTTTTCTATATTGTTTGTAGCATGTGGCATTTCTGTTTTGGCAATTTCTTTACACGGTTTCTTGGCAATCGTATAACAACCTAATATGGTGATTTTTTATCTATTAACTTAAACCGAGTCAAAGAAAATCAATTTAACAAAAAGCTTTTCTACGTGCTACATTCACATATGCATCTAAACGTTTTGTTATGTATATATGGCTATATATATATAGGTGCGCGCGATATGCATAATGTTAAAGTTAAATAAGTATACATGCTTAAATATATGTAAGTATTTTAGTAGTTTTCAAGAGAGCGCTCGCTAGAGATCCGTATCAGTGAGAGGCAGTGAAGTACTAGATAGTAGAATTCTGAAGTTTGGATACCAGCCCATTAAATTATGTGGATGTGACGCCCTTCCGTGCCACCAGCATATTAAGTATGGGATTCTTCCTTATATAGCTAACTGCCTTTTTATGGGTAACCATTGTAAAATCGTAGCCATTGCATTGCAGTATTTTGTCATGTATGCGTAGACCGGCCCTTGCAGCTGGGCTACCTTCGTGCACCTCCGTCACGTAGATGCCCTGCATAGATGTTTATATGTATTCGATTTAGTTCGAAAAAATATAAAATAGATAATTCATACATAGTCTGTGTAGCCTTGCGGACTCTTCTTGTAGTCTTGATCTATACCGCCACCAATTTTAAAGCCGCACTTCAGTATCTCTCTGCCTTCCTGGTCGTAATCCTTCTCCTTATGCAGCGTTATGGGTATCTAATAAGAATCCGAAATTATAATAACCGAACAATGTGAAAGTTTGTTTATGAGTAATTTCTATGAAACGCGACCTAATTTCACGTACACGATTCTCACACATACACATCTACTAGGTGTATACAGGAAGAACGCTATTTCGACCGTCAATGTGTGCGTGTGTGTATATTACTATATAAACTCACGCTTAAACATTCCATAGCCGTTCCGGCCTGATGCTGAAATGCCATTTTCGCCATGTTGTTGCTGTTTTAATAAATATGCGGCTCAATGAAAACGAAAACTTAATCTTTATTATTGTTCAGCTTAAGAGAGAAAAGTCGCTGTCGTCGCGTACAAACACAAACTGCCTATTCTCTACTGCATCACAAATAGGCAGTGTTGGAAAAGACCACCATCAAACTCAATTTTCTTTTTGTATTTTTAAACCCATTTAGATAAATAAACAAGTGTTTACAATTATTTAATACATATGTATATTTAAATTTAGGAACGCCGCATAGCTAACATCGTATTAATTTCCCATATTATTATACGCGTCCTATCAATAATCTCTCGTAATTGACGATTTTTTAGTTTTACAGTTTCGATTAGTTCCTGGTTCTCCTGCAGCACTTTGCGATATTCGTCACATTGCGATGGCTCTATACGAGGATCCGGTTCATCCTTGTAGGGTATTAAGGTTTCGGCGTTCATATAGTCCATGCCGGCATCATTGCATTTCTCATAGATGATGCGCACACGTTTGAAAAGCAATCGGATAGTGCGAAAATACTCTTGAACCTTTTTCTCAGTATTGTTGTCTCTGTGCGAGGTAGGTTGTATGTTCTTTAGAGCTGAGAAAACCTCTTGGAAGCGCGAAGCAATGTCTTGCACTGTCTCCTGGCCCAGCCGCGACAGTTGGACAATGTTGATTTCTTTGTGGGGATTTGGTTGAGAAATCGCCAACATATTGTTTCCGCCACCTCCACCGGCTGCACCTGTACCTGGATTGTGCTGTTGTTGTTGTTGCTGTGGTATATTGGGCTGTTGTTGCTGTGGGCCAACACCACCACCACCACCCATACCCACTCCTTGCTGTGGACCCATCATCTGCTGCTGCATTACATTTGATTGCTGTTGCGGCATATTTGACATTGGAACGCCAACGCCGCCCTGCATCATTTGATGCTGCTGCTGCATCTGATGTTGCGGGGACATGCCCATACCCTGCATTAAACCAGCTGGCCCATTTCCGCCGCCAGCATTCGGATTCATTTGCATTCCACCTGGTCCGCCGGGTCCGCCGCTTCCCATCATTTGGTTCATTTGGTGCTGTTGTTGTTGTTGCGGCGACATGTGCATACCAGCACCTCCTTGCATAAATCCACCCATAGGCATCATATTCGGCCCGCCTCCGCCAGATGCTCCTTGGTTCATCTGATTTTGACCATATTTCCACATTTCAACAGACTCTTAAGTAAAAACCCGGTTACAAACAGCAAGAATATATGCGGATATTTTTCAACACTAATCGTGAAAGAGTTGCCACATGTGGAAATATCGACTGAGTAGCTCGAGTGGGATATCGACTTTTTGTGTCAGTCAGATACTTATCGGCCAGGTTGAAGCTGATTCTAAAGAAATTTAAATTGTTGGCTAATTTATTTTGGCAATGAACAGCGATGGCCCGCGATGAAGACAATGGATTTGCTGACTTTGTAAGTTAGAAAAAAAGAAATCAATAAAAATAGTGATTTATGTAATTTTCACAGGGCGGCTACTTTGAAGCGAAAAAAGCAAAGCTTGAGGAGCAATTCGCGGCAGCCAGCGTTCCATTTCGCAAGTCGAATCTTTTTAATGGAATTTCAATATTCGTAAATGGGAAAGTCAGTCCATCAGCCGATGAGCTCAAGCGCATTATGATGGTGTATGGCGGGACATTTCACACTTATGAAAAACCGGAAACGAATTTTGTCATAGCGTCTAATTTACCTGACGTTAAAGTTCGTAAAATGGACACCAGCCGGATAATAAGGGCCCAATGGGTGGTCGATTGTGTTGAACAGATGCGCATTTTGGACTATAAGCCGTACCTTTTGTATACCAATCAAAAAACAACACAACCATGTCTAAATTTTGGCAAAGGCAAGGGTAATGATTCCAATATGTCGGAGGAAGCGGGATCATTGGAGGATGCACTTGGTGGCATACCCAAAGAGCCTATCTCTGTCACATCGCCAGACGAAAATTCAAATACGACAGCGAATGTATCCACTACAACAAATACTACCAGTAATAGCGCTCGCACTGCTGTTGATCCGGCGTTCCTCGGCGAGTTCTATAAAAACTCGCGCTTGCATCATATTGCGACGCTTGGCTCCGGTTTCAAGCAATATATTTGCGAGCTGCGACAGGCCCATGGCAACAAATCGTTCGCTAAACGGGACGAACTACGTAAACAACTAAGTGAGAAACAGCAAATCATCCCTCAACCGAAGACACCCAAGCGTTATGTGATGCACATTGATATGGATTGTTTTTTCGTGTCTGTGGGATTGCGCAAACATCCAGAGCTGCGAGGCCAGCCAATCGCTGTGACACACTCCAAAGGCGGCAGTGCAGCTACAGATGTACCTGTTCATCCTCAAGCTGATCGCAAGGTGGAACAGGATCTGTTTGCCCAACGTTTCGAGCATCGGCAGCACGACAGCGTTCGTGCGGACAAGGTGCGCTATGGCTTTGATAAGAAGATGTCGCTATCGGAAATCGCATCCTGCAGCTACGAGGCGCGCGAAAAGGGCATCAGGAATGGCATGTTTGTTGGCCAGGCACTCAAGCTGTGCCCCGACCTGAAAACCATTCCCTACGACTTTGAGGGTTATCGTGAGGTGGTAGTTTAATATGCCTTTAAGGTTTCAGGATACTGATTTATTTCATTACCAGGTCGCCTTCGCTCTGTATAATACTGTAGCGCAGTATACGCTGAATATCGAAGCTGTTAGCTGCGATGAAATGTTTGTGGATCTCACAGACTTGCTGCAGGATCTGCAAGTCGATGTTATGACTTTTGTTACGCATCTACGCCAGGAAGTGCGCCAAATAACTGGCTGCCCTTGCTCTGCGGGCGTGGGCGAGAATAAGTATACTTCAACTGAAACACTTACTATATTCGATAATTATATTTGTATACATTGACAGACTTTTAGCTCGCATGGCTACCAAGTTGGCCAAGCCGAATGGAGAGCATCTGCTAGACACTGACGATGCTGCCAAGTACATGGCCAACTTTACACTGGACACTTTGCCCGGTGTGGGCAGCAGCATGACCTACAAACTCAATCAAGCGGGCTTTAAAACTTGCGGCGATGTTCAATTGGCCTCACTGGCGCGTCTGGAAACGCTGCTGGGCAAGAAGATGGCACTAACACTGCACCAGAACTGTCACGGCATTGATCTGCGTCCCTTAGTCTACGAACAAGTAAGACATAAATGCAAACAACCTCCGACTAGTTTGATTAAAGCTGATTTAATTTTAGCAACGCAAGTCTGTGTCGGCTGAGGTGAACTATGGCATACGTTTTACTAAATACGAGGATCTAGAGAAATTTTTGCAACAGCTAAGCGTCGAGGTGCACAATCGTTTGATTGAGATCAAGCGTAAAGCTAAATCGATTACGCTGAAGCTGATGGTGCGCGCTGCCGAGGCGCCTGTTGAAACATCCAAGTTTATGGGACATGGCGTCTGCGATATTCAGACAAAATCGTCGCTACTGAAGGAAAGCACTAACAATGTAGAAGTTATTACTTCCCACGTGCTAAAGCTTATGAAAGAGTCCGGCATTCCACCACAAGAACTGCGTGGCATTGGCATACATTTAAACAGGCTGGAGGATGTTACCGAAACAAAAAAGGAGAATGTTATCAAGAACATGTTTTCCAAGATATCCGAAAAGCAAAAGGGTAAGCCTTTACCTTATGTCATTTTTGCCCATATTCATAATGTTTGTCAACCTAGAAAAATCGGCTAACGTATCAGAATCAGTTACGGCTCCAGTGGTGAATAAAGTAAAGCCGGCCAGCGTGAATGTTCTCAACATGTTAAAGAGTGCTGCAACAAACAAGAACTCAAATGATTCTATCGAATTGCCAACAACTCCCAATGAAAACGAAAAGAGTGCGCAGACAAATGCAGAAACAACACGTAAGCCGGCAGTTGATAAGAATGCAAAGCCGTCCGAAGTAAATGTGTTAAGCATGCTGAAGAATGCCGCAACATCTAAGAAGTCTACGGGCTTTCAAACCGTTCCTGTAGGAGAGTCAATAATATCTGAAGGCTGTGCCGAGCCAACAGTTTCCCAGTTCGATGCGGATGTTCTGGCTCAGCTGCCGGAAGAGTTACGGCGCGACATACTCTGCTATCCGGAGGAATATTTACATATGTCTACGGGACAGATGCGTGACGCAAAGGGCGACCAAACCGACGAGCATAAGCAACGGGGCAATAACAAAAGGAAATCACGCTCACGTTCGAGCTCACGCACACCATCGCCTCCACCGTTGCCGCCTTCGATGCGTACTGTCTGCTCCAATGCAAGTTTATTAAATGAAAGCGATTTAAAGCCTTCCACTTCAAAAGCGGCGCTGGCCAAGCAGAATGCCCGCGCTTGCCGTGCTGACCAAATCGTGGCTGCTTACGTCCAGGAGCTGCCACAGCATATGCATCCCGCCATCATGCAGTTCCTTGCATCCAATAATACACTACCGAAAGCTCCAGCCACCCCTCAAGCTAATGCAAAAGCGGAACCTGGAAACGAGTTGAATGTTCTTCTAGGTCCCGATTATAAAAATATGCTAGCCAGCTGGGTGACGACGGAGGAGGTGCCCAAGTCAGCTGACGTAGACCTTATGTACATCAACATTAGCTCTCTGGTGGAAGAGAACCAAATGGAGAAAGTCTACGAGGTTATGAAATACTTATGCCGTCTCATTAAGGCCAAACGCGCCAGCAGCTGCCATTGGCACATGGCTTACAATGAGATCGAGTCGAACGTCCAGGAGAAAGTGCACGAGTCGTTGGATTGTCACATCTACTTCACAGAGGCAATCGATTGCTACAAGTGTGCCTAAGTCGGGATTAAATAGCATAGCTCTTGACCCAAAGTACAAATGTTCCTTAGCTGTGGTCTTTGAATGCGCCACTTAAGCTAAATAATCTACTTGTTAACAGCGTATTATTGATGTTTTTTTTATTAGTTTAAATATACTTCATATATATATGTTTATAAAGCATGACTAAACCAAAAGCTGTTAGCGCCAGTTGCTTTTATTGCTAGTCCGTAAATTTATTTATAAATCTCGCAGGTCCAGCAGCGGTAATTAAT